GTGTCCCTCTCTTCGTCTCTTCTTCATCAACATGTGTCCCCTCTTCTTCATGTCTCTTTCATCAACATGTGTCCCTCTTCTTCATGTCTCTTCTCATCAACATGTGTCCCCTCTTCTTCATGTCTCTTCTCATCAACATGTGTCCCCTCTTCTTCATGTCTCTCTTCATCAACATGTGTCCCCTCTTCTTCATGTCTCTTCTACATCAACATGTGTCCCCTCTTCTTCATGTCTCTTCTTCATCAACATGTGTCCCCTCTTCTTCATGTCTCTTCTTCATCAACATGTGTCCCCTCTTCTTCATGTCTCTTCTACATCAACATGTGTCCCCCTTCTTCATGTCTCTTCTTCATCAACATGTGTCCCCTCTTCTTCATGTCTCTTCTTCATCAACATGTGTCCCCTCTTCTTCATGTCTCTTCTTCATCAACATGTGTCCCCTCTTCTTCATGTCTCTTCTTCATCAACATGTGTCCCCTCTTCTTCATGTCTCTTCTTCATCAACATGTGTCCCCTCAGCTGATCAGATTTCGGCCACTTGATGATGTCATAACGATGTTTGTCTTGTGTAACCATTAGCCAATCAGCAACCAAGGTAACCCCCCCCCCCCCCTTATCACCTGAATCTCCTCCTAGAGCCCCATTTAGTTCTTTGTAACCAAATCTCTCTCAGGGGCGTGGGGGGGGGCTCCTTATTTTCATAAAGTAACAGACAGAGAATCAGCACTTTGGAAACAGGGCTGAAACAGAGGGGATTATGGGTAATGCTGCAATGATCTGTTTGGTGTTTCAGCCAATCAGAGACAGGCTCTGGATATATCTGAGACCTGTGATATATTGATGAAGAGGAGGATGATAGGGGACCTTTAAAATAGGAGGAGGTTTTGTTACCACCTTGTGATAAATACCGCAATGTTGTTTGTAAGGCAGTACCCTCCACTCCCTCGCTCTGATTGGTCGATCCCTGTCTGTGTTTCAGACCGTCATCACCTGCATCGGGACGCTGAAGAAGAGCACGGCGGACGAAGATGGCGTCAGCTGTTTGGTGATCGGCACGGAGAGCTGCGACGTCTTCGTGCTCGACCCCGAGGCCTTCATCATCCTCTCCACAGTAAAACCATTCAAATCAACCTGTCTAGAGGTCGAGAGACGTGCCGTGGTGGTACCACCTGCAACTGGAGATTGTCAGTAATGTGAAGCTTCAAAAGTCACAGTCGTTAGGAACCGTACCGTCTTTGTTAGCTGAGTCAATGTGTCCTAAAGGATCACCTCCGTAACCATAGGAGATCAGTTCAGGAGCAGCGCCACTGGGAATGGATCCTGGGTTACCAGACTGACCTGAGACCAGAGAGAGGTTTAGGCAAGATGCAGAGAAGTCTATGTTATGTTTCCTAACCGGTCTATATGTTGGAAGACTTGCTGTCTTTTGTCACTGGGTTAGCATTGGTATGACGAGTAGCACCGCCATAAGGAACAGGTCCATCAACACGTGTGTTCCTACCGGTTTGACCTGGAACCAGAGCCATATTTAGGCTAAATGTCCACGTTTTTAGGGAATACATGTGATGTAATGCTTCTAAACCAGTCTAAAGGTTTGAAAACGTACCTTCATTTGTAACGGAGTAGCCTGTGTTGGAGTATTGAGAAGCACCGCCATAAGGAACAGGTCCATCAGCGAGTCCTGAGGGAGCGGTGTTACTAAGGTCATGCCTAAACTCATCTAAGGATAATTGGGTAACTTACCGTCCATGTGTCCTAAAGGATCACCTCCATAACCATAGGAGATCACTTCAGGAGCAGCGCCACTGGAAACAGATCCTAGGTTACCAGTCCGACCTGAAGCCAGAGAGGTTTAGGGCGAAATGTCAAAGTCTACAGGGAAGAAGGTCATTTGAAGCTTCTTAACCGGTCTATAGGTCGGAAGACGTACTGGTTTTGTCCCTGGTTTTGCGTGACCTGCAACTAGAGACAGATTTATGCAGAAAGCTTCTGAACTAATCTAACAATGGTTCGGAATCTTACCGTCTTTTTCACAAGGGTCCCTCTTGCCTTCAGGATAAGATCCACCCTAATCGTGGCTTCAATCCTCTCCAAATTATAATAGTTTCTGCTTCGGCTCACGCTTCATCTTCCTGTCTAGTTTTATTCAAATCAGAGGTTTCCCTGAACATGAGTCTCTCTGAGGAGACATGACGAGATGCTAATCCCTGAGCAGCGTCTCAAAGGGTTTCTAACCAGCAGAGGTGGGAAGTAGTGAGTACAAATACTTTTGGTGTTTGGTGGCGTGATCATTATTATTTAGAGTCATTGCGTGCCTATTGATTTGAACACGATCCGTGTATCCATCATTTCCTGGTCTTCTCTAAAGAAGAGGGACCAATGAAAACGTTGTCATGTTGCCGTTGTTCAGCATGGAAACATTCATTAGCTAACAATGACATTATTGTTCTATTAATATAAAGGGAGGTCAGGTACTCTTTAAACAGCTGCTAGTTATGGGTACTTTTTACTGAAGTACATTTCAAAGCCTCTTTACTTTGACTTGAGTAAAGAAGTTTAGTCAGTACTTCTACTTTCACCAGAGTATTTTTAAACACGAGTATCTGTACTTCTACTTGAGTAAAGTGTGTACTTGTACCCTCTCTCCTAATGAGTGATTATCGTGTGTTGCAGATGTCGCTGCCCGCCCCCCCCACCATGATGGATGTTACCGGGCAGTTTGACGTTGAGTTTCGCATCACGGTGGCGTGTCGCAACGGAAACATCTACATCCTGCGCAGGTCAGGAAACACACTCATAAACTGGTTAACTGCAGTATCAGAGGATTTTAGAAACCTTTGTATCTCTCTGAATGTTACTCAGATTATAGACAGTCCTACTCGCCCTAACGTTAAGTCCCCTAATAAATCCTCCCTAATTGATCTCATTCTAACTAATGTTCCCTATAAATACTCATCTGTGGGAGTATTTGTGAATGATCTGAGAGACCACTGTGCTGTAGCCACCATTAGGGACACTAAGGTCCAAAAGGTTAAACCTCGTATTATCATTAAGAGAGACATAAAACATTTTGTTCATGATCTGTTTGGGTTTGATTGGGGAAAATCGATCTGTGTGCTGATGTAGAAACTGCATGGTCTTATTTTTATCTTGGTTTTATGGAGATCATTGATAGACATGCACCCCTACGTACTTTTAGAGTGAAGGGACGAGACAACCCTTGGTTTCCTGCTGAACTGTCCAGTCTCCTGCATGAGAGAAAACAAGGCCTGGGCAAAGGCTAGGAATCAGGCTCAGAGGTAGAATGGCTGCGTTTTAGGCAGCTAAGAAATAGCTTCACTTCACATGTCAAAAGTGCTAAGTCTAAGTACTATTTGTCAGTTTCCACAGAAAACCTGAATAATCCTAGGAAATTTTGGAAAGCCATAAAATCGATATCCACCAGTGAGATCCGAAATGAGCTACCTCCGTGCCTTACCACAGCATCTGGCTCTATATCGGACAGGGCCACCATGTTACATTGTTTTAATGAGCATTTTGTGTCCTGTGGCTCTCTGTTTGATTCTGTGACTAACTCTGCTTCTGTGAACACCACAGTCGGTGACTCTGAACAATGTGGTCTGGAAAACCCTTTCAGTTTTACTCCTTTTACTGTAAATGTTGTTCATGAAGCTTTAACCAAGTTAGATCCTAAGAAACCGGCCGGCCCGGTCAACGTGGAACCTTTCTTTTAAAGATAGCTGCAGATTGTATTGCTCCACCTCTCACTTCTCTTTTTAACCTCTCCCTCAGCACAAACACAATTCCTAAAGTATGGAAGTCAGCGTATGTCCTGCCTTTGCTGAAAGGAGGGGAGGCAACTGTTTTAAATAACTATAGGCCAATCTCTAAATGGTCAGTTCTGGCTAAGGTTCTTGAACGCCTAGTGAGTGAACAGGTTAAGGAGTTTTTATGTAACAATGACATCCTGTCTAAACATCAGTCAGGCTTCAGAAAGTAACATAGCACCATCACTGCCACAATGAAAGTGGTGAATGACATTACGAGTATTTTAGATAATAAGCAGAGCTGTGCAGCTCTATTTATTGACCTCTCCAAAGCGTTTGATACCGTCGATCATCACATCTTAAAGCAGAGGCTACTCAGTATTGGCTTATCCAGCCATGCAGTGGGTGGTTTGTGAACTACCTCTCTGAAAGGTCCCAATGTGTTCACTTTGATGGGCTGTCTTCTGAGTGGTTAAACATTGCTAATGGTGTTCCTCAAGGTTCTGTTTTAGGTCCTCTTTTATTCTCCATCTACATCAATAGTTTAGGTGAAAATGTCGATGAAGCTACTTTACATTTTTATGCGGATGATACCGTGATGTACTGTGCATGTCCCTCCATTAAGGAGGCTGGTGTTAAATTACAGGCTGTTTTTAACATTATTCAGACTCAGCTCTCTGAACTAAAGCTTCTTTTAAATGTTGATAAAACCAAGGTAATGCTCTTTTTCTAAGCTAAAAAGACACCAGAGCCTGTTTTAGATATTTTAACTACGCAAGGAATAAAACTTGAAGTGGTTACCTGTTACAAATACCTTGGTATCTGGCTTGATAATTGTCTCACTTTTAAACGTCATGTCAATAACCTGCTTAACAAACTGAGGGTTAGACTAGGTTTCTTCTACAGGAACAAGTCCTGTTTCTCGCTCGAGGCCAGAAAACAGGCTCTGTGACCTTTTGACCTGTGCTGGACTATGGTGATCTGATTTATATGAATGCACCTGCCAATTGCCTGGTCAAGTTAGATGCTGCGTATCACAGTGCACTGAGATTTGTGACAAACTGTAAAGCATTAACCCATCACTGTACCCTGTATGCAAGGGCTGGTCTGCCTTCACTAACTGTACGGAGGCTCAGTCACTGGTACATTTTTATATATAAAGCCATGTTAGGGAAACTTCCATCCTACATCTGCTCCCTGATCTCACGGAGAATTGTAAGTGGCTACTGCCTGAGATCGCATGCTGTGGTTTTATTAAATGTGCCAACTGCTAGGACTGTCTTAGGGAAGATAGCATTTAGATGCGCAGCTCCTCTGTCCTGGAACAGTCTGCAATTGAAATGGAAACTGAGCAATCTGGTGCCACTCAATGTTTTTAAAGCTCGGTTGGATGCTACTCAATCGGAAGCTGTTGGTACCTGTTCATGTGGATAGTTATGTAAACTGTAATCCCTGTAATGATACTGTATGATGTCCTTTTGTTGTTCTGTTGTTTAATGTTTCATGTGGAACCTACTTGAGCAGGTCTCCCTTGAAAAAGAGATCAATGATCTCAATGGGATACAACCTGAATAAATAAAGGTTTGAAATGAAATGAAATAATAATAATAACATATTAAGAGTTATATTAAAGCTGATTGCATACAGAGATACAGTGGAGGAAATACGTATTTGATCCCCTGCAGATGTTCTCAGTTCTTGTTTGTTGCAAACTAACAACATCTGCAAGGGATCAAATACTTATTTCCTCCACTGAATATAAAGTATGTCCTCATATAATAATAATAATCTAATAGTCCATTTTATTTATGAGCTTACTTTTCATTTGAGGAAACAAAGCAACAACATATCCCCCGACTGGCCAGCAGGCGTTGAGGCGTGTATTGATTTCAAACGTGATGCTGACCCGGTGTTTTTGTCGCCGCCCTGCAGGGAGTCGGAGAAACCGAAGTACTGCATCGAGCTGTCGAGCCACCCGGTGGGTCTGGTGCGGGTCGGGAAGAACGTGGTGGTGGGCTGCGCCGACGAGAGCCTGCAGGGGTTCACCCAGAAGGTAAGGGTTATTAGAGAGAGCAAGAGTACACACATCCTGTACTCAAGGAGAAGTACACACATCCTGTACTCAAGGAGAAGTACACACATCCTGTACTCAAGGAGAAGTACACATCCTTTACTCAAGTAGAAGTACACACATCCTGTACTCAAGGAGAAGTACACATCCTTTACTCAAGTAGAAGTACACACATCCTGTACTCAAGGAAGAAGTACACATCCTTTACTCAAGTAGAAGTACACACATCCTGTACTCAAGTAGAAGTACACACATCCTGTACTCAAGTAGAAGTACACACATCCTGTACTCAAGTAGAAGTACACACATCCTGTACTCAAGGAGAAGTACACATCCTTTACTCAAGTAGAAGTACACACATCCTGTACTCAATTAGAAGTACACACATCCTTTACTCAAGTAGAAGTACACACATCCTTTACTCAAGGAGAAGTACACATCCTTTACTCAAGTAGAAGTACACACATCCTGTACTCAAGGAGAAGTACACACATCCTGTACTCAAGGAGAAGTACACACATCCTTTACTCAAGTAGAAGTACACACATCCTGTACTCAAGGAGAAGTACACATCCTTTACTCAAGTAGAAGTACACACATCCTGTACTCAAGGAGAAGTACACATCCTTTACTCAAGTAGAAGTACACACATCCTGTACTCAAGTAGAAGTACACATCCTGTACTCAAGTAGAAGTACACACATCCTGTACTCAAGTAGAAGTACACACATCCTGTACTCAAGGAGAAGTACACATCCTTTACTCAAGTAGAAGTACACACATCCTGTACTCAATTAGAAGTACACACATCCTTTACTCAAGTAGAAGTACACACATCCTTTACTCAAGGAGAAGTACACACATCCTGTACTCAAGGAGAAGTACACATCCTTTACTCAAGTAGAAGTACACACATCCTGTACTCAAGGAGAAGTACACATCCTTTACTCAAGTAGAAGTACACACATCCTGTACTCAAAAGTAGAAGTACACATCCTTACTCAAGGAAGTACACATCCTTACTCAAGGAGAAGTACACATCCTGTACTCAAGTAGAAGTACACACATCCTGTACTCAAGGAGAGAAGTACACATCCTTTACTCAAGTAGAAGTACACACATCCTGTACTCAAGGAGAAGTACACATCCTTTACTCAAGTAGAAGTACACACCAATCCGGGGCTGTACTCAAGGAGAAGTACACATCTTACTAAGTAGAAGTACACACATCCTTGTACTCAAGGAGAAGTACACACATCCTGTACTCAAGGAGAAGTACACATCCTTTACTCAAGGAGAAGTACACACATCCTGTACTCAAGGAGAAGTACACATCCTTTACTCAAGTAGAAGTACACACATCCTGTACTCAAGTAGAAGTACACACATCCTGTACTCAAGTAGAAGTACACACATCCTTTACTCAAGGAGAAGTACACATCCTTTACTCAAGTAGAAGTACACACATCCTGTACTCAAGGAGAAGTACACACATCCTGTACTCAAGGAGAAGTACACATCCTTTACTCAAGTAGAAGTACACACATCCTGTACTCAAGGAGAAGTACACATCCTTACTCAAGTAGAAGTACACACATCCTGTACTCAAGGAGAAGTACACATCCTTTACTCAAGTAGAAGTACACACATCCTGTACTCAAGTAGAAGTACACACATCCTGTACTCAAGTAGAAGTACACACATCCTTTACTCAAGTAGAAGTACACACATCCTGTACTCAAGGAGAAGTACACATCCTTTACTCAAGTAGAAGTACACACATCCTGTACTCAATTAGAAGTACACACATCCTTTACTCAAGTAGAAGTACACACATCCTTTACTCAAGGAGAAGTACACACATCCTGTACTCAAGGAGAAGTACACATCCTTTACTCAAGTAGAAGTACACACATCCTGTACTCAAGGAGAAGTACACATCCTTTACTCAAGTAGAAGTACACACATCCTGTACTCAAGTAGAAGTACACATCCTTTACTCAAGTAGAAGTACACACATCCTGTACTCAAGGAGAAGTACACACATCCTGTACTCAAGTAGAAGTACACACATCCTGTACTCAAGGAGAAGTACACATCCTTTACTCAAGTAGAAGTACACACATCCTGTACTCAAGGAGAAGTACACATCCTTTACTCAAGGAGAAGTACACATCCTTTACTCAAGCTAGGAAAGTACACACATCCCTGTACTCAAGGGAAGTACCACACATCCTGTACTCAAGGAGAAGTACACATCCTTTACTCAAGGAGAAGTACACACATCCTGTACTCAAGGAGAAGTACACATCCTTTACTCAAGTAGAAGTACACACATCCTGTACTCAAGTAGAAGTACACACATCCTGTACTCAAGGAGAAGTACACACATCCTGTACTCAAGTAGAAGTACACACATCCTGTACTCAAGGAGAAGTACACACATCCTGTACTCAAGGAGAAGTACACATCCTTTACTCAAGGAGAAGTACACACATCCTGTACTCAAGTAGAAGTACACACATCCTGTACTCAAGGAGAAGTACACATCCTTTACTCAAGTAGAAGTACACACATCCTGTACTCAAGTAGAAGTACACACATCCTTTACTCAAGTAGAAGTACACACATCCTTTACTCAAGGAGAAGTACACACATCCTTTACTCAAGTAGAAGTACACACATCCTTTACTCAGGTAGAAGTACACATCCTTTACTCAAGGAGAAGTACACACATCCTGTACTCAAGGAGAAGTACACATCCTTTACTCAAGTAGAAGTACACACATCCTGTACTCAAGTAGAAGTACACACATCCTGTACTCAAGTAGAAGTACAACATTGTACTCAAGTAGAAGTACACACATCCTGTACTCAAGTAGAAGTACACACATCCTGTACTCAAGTAGAAGTACAACATCCTTACTCAGGTAGAAGTACACACATCCTGTACTCAAGTAGAAGTACACACATCCTGTACTCAAAAGTACACACATCCTGTACTCAAGTAGAAGTACACACATCCTGTACTCAAGTAGAAGTACACACATCCTGTACTCAAGTAGAAGTACACACATCCTGTACTCAAGTAGAAGTACACACATCCTGTACTAAGTAGAAGTACACACATCCTGTACTCAAAGAGAAGTACACACATCCTGTACTCAAGTAGAAAGTACACATCCTGTACTCAAGTAGAAGTACACACATCCTGTATCAAGTAGAAGTACACATCCTTTACTCAAGGAAGTACACATCCTGTACTCAAGGAGAAGTACACATCCTTTACTCAAGTAGAAGTACACACATCCTTTACTCAAGTAGAAGTACACACATCCTTTACTCAAGGAGAAGTACACATCCTTTACTCAAGTAGAAGTACACACATCCTGTACTCAAGTAGAAGTACACACATCCTTTACTCAAGTAGAAGTACACACATCCTTTACTCAAGTAGAAGTACACACATCCTTTACTCAAGTAGAAGAGAAGTAGAAGTACCACATCCTTACTCAAGAAGAAGTACACATCCTTTACTCAAGTAGAAGTACACACATCCTTTACTCAAGTAGAAGTACACACATCCTTTACTCAAGTAGAAGTACACACATCCTTTACTCAAGTAGAAGTACACACATCCTGTACTCAAGGAGAAGTACACATCCTTTACTCAAGTAGAAGTACACACATCCTGTACTCAAGTAGAAGTACACATCCTGTACTCAAGTAGAAGTACAACATCCTGTACTCAAGTAGAAGTACACATCCTTTACTCAAGGAGAAGTACACACATCCTCCTTACTCAAGAAGAAGTACACATCCTGTACTCAAGGAGAAGTACACACCTTTACTCAAGCAGAAGTACACACATCCTTTACTCAAGTAGAAGTACACACATCCTTTACTCAAAGAGAAGTACACATCCTTTACTCAAGTAGAAGTACACACATCCTGTACTCAAGTAGAAGTACACACATCCTTTACTCAAGTAGAAGTACCAATCTTTACTCAAGTAGAAGTACACACATCCTTTACTCAAGTAGAAGTACACCATCCTTACTCAAGAAGAAGTAACATCCTTACTCAGTAGAAGACACACATCTTACTCAAGTAGAAGTACACACATCCTTTACTCAAGTAGAAGTACACAATCTTACTCAAGTAGAGAAGTAACACATCCTTTACTCAGGTAGAAGTACACACATCCTTTACTCAAGTAGAAGTACACACTCCTTACTCAAGAGAAGACACATCCTTACTCAAGTAGAAGTACACACATCCTGTACTCAAGTAGAAGTACACACATCCTTTATCAAGAGAAGTACACATCCTTTACTCAAGTAGAAATACACAATCCTGTACTCAAGTAGAAGTACACAATCCTGTACTCAAGTAGAAGTACACACATCCTTACTCAAGGAGAAGTACACATCCTTTACTCAAGTAGAAGTACACACATCCTGTACTCAAGAGAAGTACACATCCTTACTCAAGTAGAAGTACACAATCCTGTACTCAAGAGAAGTACACATCCTTTACTCAAGAGAAGTACACACATCCTGTACTCAAGGAGAAGTACACATCCTTACTCAAGAGAAGTACACATCCTGTACAAGGAGAAGTACACAATCCTTACTCAAGAGAAGTACACATCCTTTACTCAAGTAGAAGTACACACATCCTGTACTCAAGGAGAAGTACACATCCTTACTCAAGTAGAAGTACCACATCCTGTACTCAAGGAGAAGTACACATCCTTTACTCAAGTAGAAGTACACACATCCTACTCAAGTAGAAGTACACACATCCTTTACTCAAGTAGAAGTACACACATCCTTACTCAAGTAGAAGTACACACATCCTGTACTCAAGGAGAAGTACACATCCTTTACTCAAGTAGAAGTACACACATCCTGTACTCAAGAGAACACACATCCTTTACTCAAGTAGAAGTACACACATCCTTACTCAAGGAGAAGTAC